GGAGATTTTGGGGAGATTTCGAAGAGATTTTGAAGGGGTTTTGAAGAGATTTTGAAGAGGCTTAAAAGAGATTTTGAAGAGATCTTAAAGAGACTTAGAAGAGATCTTGAAGAGGTTTGAAAAGATCTTGAGTAGATTTACAAGAGATTTTTAAGAGATTTTCAAGAGCCTTTTAAGAGATTTTAAAAAGCTTTTGAAGAGATTGTAAAAAGATTTTGAAGAGATGTCCAAAGATTTTGAAGAGATATTGAAGGGGCTTTGAGGAGATTTTGAAGAAGTTTACAAGAGATTTTAAAGGGACTTTAAAGAGATTTTGAAGAGATTTTAAAGAGATTTTGAAGAGATTTTGAAAAGATGTTCAAAAGATTTTGAAGAGATTTTGGGGAGATTTCGAAGAGATTTTGAAGAGATTTTGAAAAGGTTTAAAAGAGATTTTGAAGAGATCTTAAAGAGACTTAGAAGACATCTTGAAGAGGTTTGAAAAAATCTTGAGGAAATTTACAAGAGATTTTTAAGAGATTTTCAAGAGCCTTTTACGAGATTTTGAAAAGATTTTAAAGAGCTTTTGAAGAGATTTTGAGGAGATTTTGAACAGATAGATTTTGAAGAAATCTTAAAGAGATTTACAACAAATTTTGAAAAGGTTTTGAAGAGATGTTTAAAAGATTTGGAAGAGATTTTGAAGTGGGTTTGAAGAGATTTTGAAGAGTTTTACAAGAGATTTTGAATAGATCGTAAAGAGACCTAGAAGAGATCTTGAAGAGGTTTGAAAAGATCTTGAGGAGATTTACAAGAGATTTTTAAGAGGTTTTGAAAAGATTTTAAAGAGCTTTTGAAGAGATTTTGAAAAGATTTGCAAGAGATTTTAAAGGGGTTTTAAAGAGATTTTGAAGAGATTTTAAAGAGATTTCCAAGAGATTTTGAAGGGGTTTTGAAGAGATTTTGAAGAGGTTTACAAGAGATTTTAAAGGCGTTTTAAAGAGATTTTGAAGAGATTTTGAAGAGATTTTGGGGAGATTTCGAAGAGATTTTGAAGGGGTTTTGAAGAGATTTTGAAGAGGCTTAAAAGAGATTTTGAAGAGATCTTAAAGAGACTTACAAGAGATCTTGAAGAGGTTTGAAAAGATCTTGAGTAGATTTACAAGAGATTTTTAAGAGATTCTCAAGAGCCTTTTAAG